TTGAATATTATGGAATTTTTTAGGTTGATGACCTTTGGTCAAGAACATTAAAAAGTTATACATATTACTGGAATCTTTGTTTTATGTAAAGACTTGTAGTTGTAATGTATCTTTTCATTTTCTTTTGTCAGTTAATTAGTAAATTAACTACAACATTTTTGGATGATGCAACTTAATATTTTAGTTTCTCATCATTAATGATTCGTTGTATTTGGACAAATCTAGAAATTAATGAGTCATAGATATTTTATTATGATGATTCATGTTATTTATTAGGCGCTTCCTGTAATTTTAACTTGGAAGTCTAGGTTTTTATGATGATAACCAATATACTAGACTAGAGTCTCTGAACATATTGAATGATAAAGATAATCTGAGAAAATATTTATAGAAGAAGATTATAGCTTTTAGAGACTTGTTTGTATTAACATTAATTTGACTTGTTACAGATGCCAAGCGACTTATTGGTCGTAAATTCGAAGATGCCACCGTCCAAGCCGACATGAAGCACTGGCCCTTCGAGGTCGTCAGCGATGGAGGCAAACCAAAGATTAAGGTCGCCTACAAGGGCGAAGACAAGACCTTCTTCCCCGAGGAGGTGAGCTCAATGGTGCTCACCAAGATGAAGGAAACAGCCGAGGCCTACCTCGGTAAAACTGTGCAGAACGCAGTCATCACGGTTCCAGCTTACTTCAACGACTCCCAGAGACAGGCCACCAAAGATGCGGGTACCATCTCCGGCCTGAACGTTCTCCGAATCATCAACGAACCGACTGCTGCGGCGATTGCGTACGGTCTAGACAAGAAGGGAGGCGGAGAACGCAACGTCCTGATCTTCGATCTCGGCGGCGGCACCTTCGACGTGTCCATCCTGACCATCGAGGACGGTATATTCGAGGTCAAGTCCACCGCCGGCGACACGCACTTGGGAGGCGAGGACTTCGACAACCGCATGGTCAACCACTTCGTGCAGGAGTTTAAAAGGAAGTACAAGAAGGACCTCACCACCAACAAGAGAGCGCTCCGTCGTCTGCGCACCGCCTGCGAGCGTGCGAAGAGAACTCTCTCCTCGTCCACCCAGGCCAGCATCGAAATCGATTCCCTCTACGAGGGCATCGACTTCTACACGTCGATCACCCGCGCGCGCTTCGAGGAGCTGAACGCCGACCTGTTCAGATCCACCATGGAGCCCGTGGAGAAGTCCCTCCGCGACGCCAAGATGGACAAGGCCCAGATCCACGACATCGTGCTGGTCGGCGGCTCCACCCGCATTCCTAAGGTGCAGAAGCTCCTGCAGGACTTCTTCAACGGCAAGGAGCTGAACAAGTCCATCAACCCCGACGAGGCCGTCGCGTACGGTGCCGCCGTTCAAGCCGCCATCTTGCACGGAGACAAGTCCGAGGAGGTGCAGGATTTGCTGCTGCTCGACGTCACGCCTCTCTCGCTCGGTATCGAGACCGCGGGCGGCGTGATGACCACGCTCATCAAGCGCAACACCACCATCCCCACAAAGCAGACGCAGACCTTCACCACGTATTCCGACAACCAGCCCGGCGTGCTCATCCAGGTGTTTGAAGGCGAGCGGGCCATGACCAAGGACAACAACCTGCTCGGCAAGTTCGAGCTCACCGGCATCCCGCCCGCGCCGCGCGGCGTGCCGCAGATCGAGGTCACCTTCGACATCGACGCCAACGGCATCCTCAACGTGTCCGCCGTCGAGAAGTCCACCAACAAGGAGAACAAGATCACGATCACCAACGACAAGGGCCGCCTGTCCAAGGAGGAGATCGAGCGCATGGTCAACGAAGCTGAGAAGTACCGCAACGAGGACGACAAGCAGAAGGAGACGATTCAGGCGAAGAACGCGCTCGAGTCGTACTGCTTCAACATGAAGTCGACCATGGAAGACGCCAACCTCAAGGACAAGATCACCGACGCCGACAAGCAGACCATACTCGACAAGTGCAACGACACCATCAAGTGGCTGGACTCGAACCAATTGGCCGACAAGGAGGAGTATGAGCACAAGCAGAAGGAGCTCGAGGGCATATGCAACCCGATTATCACCAAGCTGTACCAGGGCGCTGGTGGCGCGCCCGGCGGCATGCCCGGTGGTATGCCCGGATTCCCTGGCGGAGCCCCGGGCGCCGGCGGTGCCGCCCCAGGAGGAGGCGCCGGCCCCACCATCGAGGAGGTCGACTAAACATTCCACAGTACGCGCGAGAGGTTCTCGATAAGCAACTATGTGGCTATGAGATTCTCGTAACTCAATAAATAAATTGAAACTTATGTCTGCTTTCTTATTTTATGTATACCTTCACATTACAGTTATTAAGATACATAGGCCATTAGGCATAGGTACACAGTTCAAATTAGTTATGACAACTTAAAACATACACATAACATTAGGTGATTTCACAAAAATAGTAATATAAATAGGGCTTGGAAACTAAGTCTAAATCTAGAAAAATCTAGAATTTCCATAAATTGAAAGAATAGGTTAGGGTCAAATTAATATTCATCGTGTAATGATTGCTCATTTTTGACAAATACGGATAGATGTAGGGAATTGTAGGGTAGAACTAGGTAGGTGGTCCCTACTACATACCAACACAAGAAAGATCTCTGTTTCACAGCATATTACTTAGGTAATTAGGTACTTCTTCTGCTACGAATAATGTAGTTTCTATGGTGGCTACTACAAAGTATTTTCGCTCTCAAGCAAAGCAATGCTCTAAAATATGTTGACACCTGCGCGACAAACTATTATAAGCTAACAGCTGGAATGACCGTCTCGTCTGGATGATCTATTTATGTTATCCAGTTTAATTTTGTCTAGCAATGCAACGCTCGGTTCTCAAGCGTGTAAAAATAGCAACCTCAGTAAAAATATACCCACTATCTTCTTGAACAACATACCTAAACTCTCCTCCACTAAGGAGAGAGACTGGAAATTTTAGTGTCTTACAACTGAAGACCTCAGTCTGTTATGAACCTTACAAGCTAGTGAATGTAGTCCCTACGACAGTAGTTCCTAATATCTATCATATTTTCCCAGGTGTTTTCAAAATCAAAATCAAAATCAAAAATATTTATTCAGTTTAGACCACAAGTGGCACTTATTTTAAATCACTAGCAGTGCTGAGGTTGACGAATTTTCGTGATTTGGTCCGGTGATAGATGTAATAAATAAGTCGATATTACCTAGAACTCGCCGACTTGCGATTCCTAAGTAGGACCTAAATTCCTATCCTATCCTAATTCCTACCAGGAAATCCACAAGAACAAAATCGTATTTATACCTACTTTATCAAGTGTAGAGTTCAACCACAGAATAATAATAAGTACTTACTACTGGTACTGGTTCAACCTTCAGAGAAGTGGGTGCAACACGGTCATTTGGACATGATCTGGTTAAAGGAAAGTAGGGACCTGCGTCCATGTAGGACAGGGCCGGTCCTTATGTAAATTTATTCTTTGATGGAAATCCTTGGAGTCTTTGTCCAGCAGTGGACGTCGCGTCATTTTGCTGAAGTGACCGAACTTTATTCAAAGATATAGACGAAGTTTATTACCCTCAGAGCGTGTCTCGTCTGACGCATTTGTTATTGAGGTGATAAACCGAATAACAGGATTTATGTAGTCTAACGTGCGGTGACGATTGTGATAAAATCAATAACATGTCTACATTATCCGTCTGACATGTTATTCACGTGTTTTTGTATTAATGAGGCTTGAAAAACAAATGCGATGGAAAGTCACCGTGGGATTGAGATACCTTAGTATTGATTGATGTTGTTGTCAGAAAAGAGAAATTTCTTCATTGCATGTACGATTTCATTCCCTATATAAGTAAGTAAGTCACTTTATTACGTAGTAAAGTCTTTATTTGCAACATATAGAGTCATCTAGGTCTTCATCCATTTATAGCCATAACCTCGCGTCGTAGCCTTGCAATTACCATCTACGGGTTATTCAGACTAAACATATTTACCGGAAGACCAAAGTTAATATTGTACAATACAATACATTAGTATGTAAGAAGAAGTAACGTTTAATAACAGCGTGGTTTGTGGTAAGATAAAAATAGATTGCTCTATACAGGGTGTTAGGTAAAGGGGTATATGAGCCGATACTAGCCCATGTTAACATGGGCATATAAATGGTATGGTGAAGTCAGAAATTTGATATTGTAATTTTTTTTTTAAATTTTCATACAAAATAATTTTTATAAAATCCGATTTGTATGAAAATTAAAATAATTAAAATGAAGATATCCATTTTCTGACTTCACCATACCATTTACTTATTATTATGACCATGTTAACATGGGCTAGTGTCGGCTCATATACCCATATACCTAACACCCTGTATGTATAGGTAGGTAGGTAGGTATATGAAAAATTTCTAGGCTGTTCTTGGCTTTGTTAGGGTACCTACTTACTTACCTACTTGATGATTTAAGTATATTTTTCTTTGGATTACAGTACCTATCTAATTAGATAAGTTATCACTGCGTCATGGTATCTATGTCGTCTATTGTTTTAACTCTTTTTTCAGGTAAAGATCTTAAGTACTTACTATATTTAGATCTTAGCCAAAAGGCCGAGAAGCGATAGGTAGGTACTCTAAAATTTTCATTGACAGTTTGAATTTTTCATCATAGTGAATCAATACAAAGTAAGTACCTATGTACCTACTTAGCGTAGGTATATTTTCGATTTACAGGTTCGATTCCAGTCGGATAAAGTTTCAAAATAGCCTTATGAAAAAAGCTGTGACTGGTAGGTATTTGTCACATAGTTTTAGGTAGAGCTCCTCTCATAAAAAAGAAAACAATGAGTGCGTCATACTACTTACACACATTGTGTAATGTGTAGAGTAGGAGTGTGTAGGTATTTTGGTTACAAAAACAACAAAGTTGACGTTTAAACCATTTTATTTAATCGCATTTTTGCTAATACAAAACAACGGGACAATTCAAATGTTCTACGGTTTAATTCCGGACCGACCGATACCGCCAAGCCTCTACGGTAGAGCGGTGCAGGAGACGCACTTTTGCAGCATTGAGAACCTCCAATTCGCATAAGTTTCACTCTTTAACTTAACAATCACACAAATTCTATATGAATTCGTATCTACAATTTATGCAGAAGGCAACTTTTATGCAGATGCACACTTTGCGAAACTATGACACTACGGTTTTAATACACAATGTGTAGGATGTGTATTACACATCCTTGTGTTCACCTTAACACAGATAATATGTTGGGATTTCAAATTCACAAACAAAAAATTGTACATGATTTGAATGATTTTGTACGCGAATTGGGATTCTAATGCATTAAAATGTGTACAGATTCGTATGCCAGTTGGAATTTGAATACTTACAAAATACGTTGGGAGAGCAAACGCAGTATAATAACAGTATTCTACCGTTAGATTCTGTATTTTCATAATTCACAGTTCACACATACGTATAACTGTGTCCTAAATAAATTAACTATCTTTTAACATCTTTCTTTACTTACGATAAAATACTTTATACTGCCTTTGTTATTTGTGGGTATAAAACGTTAGTCTATGGTTAGGTCTACTGTCTCTTCAACCTCCGCGGAGGTCCCTGCTCAATAAGGCCAGGCCAGAAGCCACATAGCGTTCATATCATTCGTTTTAACCATTGATTTATATTATAAACTTAATTAATGCGAGTTATAGAGATTTAAGACGACGCCGCGACGCCGCGTTGTGCTAAATATGCCATTTACGAACATTTTTCAGGAATCAAACGAAAATGTTTCAGGAACCATTTTCTGAGAAAATGTAGAGTCGTAATCTCAAATGATTTATTCATGTATGTAAGTATCAGGTACTCGGTCCATGTTTATGGACTACTAGTTTATAATAGAAATCAATGTTTTTACAGGTTTACCTTATTTTAATTCCTACTAAAACTGTCAGATCGGGTTGCTACAGAAAAATCAGTAATATCTCAATTCGTTTTGCTAGCACTTTTCTTTACATTTTCTTGTTTAACTTATTAAATTTACAATGATATTAAACTATAATATAAAATTATAACAAATCACATTAACAACTATTTATAAATATTTGTTCCTGGAAGTATTAAATGAAGCTGCCATTATTACATCGGCTTATATAAATAATTAACAAAATAGTAGAACCTAAATAATTAATTTTGATTCAACCTTTTACACGTAAATATTAGGCATGTTGACACCACCATCAACAGACACAATTTTAAACCTCAAAACGATATTTCATAATCTAAAAATTACAGTAGTAAGTACACGGTTTGTGCTGTTAGGTACCGTCTTGCTTTACGAAACATTTCGAAACTAATTTTAGAAAATAATACAAAAAGAAACTACTTACAACGTATCAAATCATAAAATGTTATCATTCATTGAATACGAGTAGGTATATTGGTCTAATAAAAGTGGTGTCATCATCCTTGTTATAAATAACATTAAATACATACATTCCTTGAATAATAACGTCAGTAAATGTATTAATATTAATTAAATTATGTTATAATCGTGTATTTTTCGATTGGCAATCGCTAAGAATACTTTATGCTGGCATCCCGATTTGATAGTATGAAGGGCATACTTTTCGAGGTCACTGCTTGCCTGTAAACTTGAGGAAAAGCCCCGTTTTACGAAATGACAGTCAATTTATGAACCTAGATCATATTTTCATATTTATCGAGTTTTAAATTGTTTTATTTGTAACCTAAGTGGTTTGTGCGCACGATTAGAGGTGGGTAGTGTTGCTAAGGATCAGTCTAGTAGGGATGGAAAGATGAAAAGCAGGCAAAGAAAATGGGAAGAGAAAACTATTATTTTTTCAAGATAAAGGTTTTTGAACTAAGAATATAGAGGTATCATATTTATATCGGAGATCAACGGACCTGTGCTCGATTTCGCAGACGCGAGTAGGGATCTATTTTGGTGCGGTTTATTTTTGATGCAGAAAAGATCGCTCTATAAATAGCTCGGTGTGCGATTCTAAGTTATCAATCAACGGTTTTTTATTTTACGAAGCTTTCCTACATATCTTTGTATGAACTTGGATTACTTTCCAATTACCTAATTCGCGTCAGATACTTCTAAGAAACAAAAGATGACAGCGTAGATACATAGATAGATATCCCAATAGGTAGGGAGGAATATGAAAGTGCTTCGATTTGTAAATATAATTTATATGAGTTTACAGGCACGCGGCAATGATTTTTAATACAAATATACTTAATCTTTCGGAAGCTTATCACTTATTATGTCAGTATTCCACAACTGGATATTTTTTTAAAATATTGAAGATTAATTTGAAATCAGTCAATTAATTATAATAGTTAAGTTTTTATTTGAAAAAACCGTGCAAGAGATTTATTGGATCAATTGGGTAGTTTAATAGGTAGTAAAATAAGTTTTTAAAGTAGGTTTAAATCTGTCTTGAAAGTCGTCAACACTTCTGAAAATATCAGCGTGGAATTGTAGAGCACTTAATTTTCATAGATCATTAGACCAGAAGATTTCATAGTTTCGCTGTTTATGCCATCAAAAGAAGTGTAGGATTTACTGACTATCTAGTTCGTAAAATTAATTAGGCTCAACATTCTGGCTGCGCAGTTTAACATTAACATACATTACTGAGAATTCAGTCTTTATTAATTAAGGATATGCCTGAAATCTTCCAACTAATGATCTTATATTATTACCTATTTATTATATTTCCAAAAATAAACTGGAGAGAATGTGGTTTAACAAAACGAAAAACTATCCTATGTCAATGAATTAGGGACTATTTCGATTCTGACGTAAATAATTCCAATCGAAGATACATAGATACAAAATTAATATGCATTTTATGTATCTAACTATTACTTAACACGATTGTATACACTATTATCTAGACTCTGACAGCCGGTCGGTGACGTCATTGCCAAATAATCTAGCTCAGGAGGTGATAAGTAAACTAGGACAATTCCAGTCAGCTGTTGTAAATATGTGGTAAATATTTACTTTCATGTGACATGTTAGCCAATCATGCAAACAGCCTTTGTGCGTAAATTATATTATTATCTATACATACTCTGCAACTTTTCTTTTCAAACAATATTCACTGCTGACAAAGTTCTATAAATATATCTAATCAATCACTCGTTCGTTTACAATTTTACACACAACGGCTTTTGTCTGTATTATAAAATGACACGCATTAAGAATCTGTCCTGAACAATAGATTTTTATCTGTGATGATGATGAGCCCATTGAACTGCTGTCATCTATCATTGTTGTTAGAGATCTGAAGTCTAAAACTGTGATCATGTCCTAGAATACTTATACCAATAATTTCGCCTTTTCTGCTTTAAGAATTTTACGGAAAATTTCATTAGTATCACGTTTCAATAAATTATTTGTAACATGAAATTCTCAATACTGAAACAGGCTAGCATTTGTTTAACACATTACATTTACTAAGCAGCGTAGATCTTTCATTTGTTATTTTGTTGTTTAAACTATTTTAAACTTATTTAAACCTGGGTCGTGTGCGTGGTCATTTATAATAATGTTGCCATATATTTGATGTCCAAAAATTACAAATTTTGGTACACTGCTTAGAATAACACACATCTTTAGCTTATTTATGTACAATCATCACATTGACTTACTTTACTTGACATTCGACTAGAAGCTTAAAGCGCCCAAACTTACCTAGTTCTATCATCATTAATTAATTTCGATTTTACGAGCTATTGCTTCTTAATGTACTTGGCATAATTACCAATAAGCTGGTAGATATTGCTGGCGTGACTGAGCGACAAGCCCGCAATTTCAATTCATTTAATAAGCTACTTATATTATCTGTTTTTGTACAGTCTTTAAACATAACAAGTATATTATAGTAACATTTAATCTGACAAATCCTTTTTGTTTCCAAGTTGACTTGTCGCAAAGTTGCAACTGAAATATTTTCTCAGTAATACATCGATGTTACGACTCGCTATTCGCTCAGTGTTACTAACATTAAATAAGGGGTTCCCCATAAATATGGCTGATATGACGCCAGAGAGTGAGGTAGTTTTATAGATATCGGGAATTTAGTCCCAAGCGGCAGTGGTTAAATACAATTTTGATTATGTACCTAAACTTCATAATTTTGTAGATATGCTGTAAATACAGTTAATATGCACTTAACGCAGTGCCCGAGCGCAAGGCAGAGAAGAAAATACTTCACTTGCTACTTGTTATAGCCAAGCTTAAAAATACGTTACAAATATTATGGTAGTTATTATCGGATATGGTGTCTATGCAGGGGTCTTCTGATTTCTGTTTGTGCTTGAAGTTTACGAGATTATTAACTATACCAAGATACACTTTCAAATGTATTTTACACTTGATTAAGACACAGTTTTTTGAGATCACGATCACTCATTGTTTTTCACAGTTCAAAACACCACGTTAGCTCATCCGCTTGATAAAATTTCGGTACTTCTTCCCTCGAAGGAACCGCCATTTTAAATTTAAACTAATGGATTGCCCGAAGGCGTTGGGATGGCCTGGTTGATGAGAGGAGGATGTGGGTAAAGTCTACATCCAGGCCATGGCAGGAGAACCTTCGGAGGAGAGGGAGTCCAGGGAAAGACGCGTGGCTTTCGAACGGGCCTGCTGTCAGTAAAGAGAGGAACTGGAGCAGGGCCCGTCCACGCCTTGCAGCTGCTGGTCTGGATTTGTTACTAGCTGTAAAAATAATAGTAGGTACATCATTATTGAGAATACTTCCATCGCATAAGACAATTAGGTATCTTATGAATAACATAAAACATCGTCAAAGCATTCGAGCAGTTTAGTTTATAAAATAATTATAGTTCTTTTCTGCAGCATGTTGATGGAGTAGGTATTTAGAACACCTAAGCCCAATTCCAAATATTAATGTGACTGTTATGATAATATCAACAGCATTAATTAAATTAAGTAAACATTGCACACGGTATTGATGAAGGGAACAAACATTAAGCTGAAAGCTACAACATACACAAGTCGGAAAGGTGCTGTACAAACATCAAACGTGGAGGCTTACATTCAGAGGTGTTTGTCAACACAGGGATCACAAACCACACATCATGAAGGAGTTTACCTTTATGGCTCCGGTGGGGGAGCGAATAAAATCTGAACAGTCCCAAAAATCAAGTTACTTTTGGCAACACTTTACTGAAAATTACTAAACGTACATAATTAAAATGTTTTTCGATTATTTTATGGATGTCAATCAGTATTATAAAGAGACATCTTTAAGGCTAGAGAGGCTGCAGATGATAAATCTGGATATTAGTACCCAGGTTGAACTTATTAGTAATTTTATTTAAAAACTAATTAAAATAATATCTCTACAATTTCAGATTTTATTAGCGAAGTGTTTAAGGATGGGACAATGATCGTACTTCTCTAATTTCACATACAGACGGCAACAACCCGTCAGTGGAGTTGTTAGGCGAGCGCGGCGACGGCGTGGGCGCATGCTTCGGCACCTCGCGGCCGGCCGCCATCTTGTCGTGCAGCTGAGCGAGACGCATGCTCATCTGTCTCCTTTCCTTCTGCTCCCTCTCCCTCTCCCACCTCTTGGCGCTGTAACTCCTAATAGAGGACGAACTGCTCTGCACCGAACTTAGACTTGGACGTCGCGAACCTGCGGTTTTGGAGAAAGATGGATGTAATCAAATGTCGGAGAACTAAACAATGGGTGATTGTGTAAGCTGTTACATTAATTTTATTTATTTCAAGCTTTTAGATTTTTCAGCCGTGAGTGATCTTCAATGAAAGCTTTAGTTCTTGGCATTAGAAAGTGCTGTGAAATTAAAAAACATCAGTTTCTGGATTTATTTATCGTTAATTGAGTTTCTTGAACAGATTATAAATATACCTACTGTGGAATTAGTACATTATGTAGGTAAGTACATACATTATATTCTATACTATACAATATTTACATTGAAAATAACAATACAGGTGAGTTTTAAGCCCCATACAACACCACAGATAATATAAAAACGAGTGTACAATGGTTCTAACTTTGACTTTACGATGGTTAGGTAGCAAATCAACATATTTTACTGAATTACAACGTGAAAGAAATTAGACTTGGCCCTCAAATGTGTTAAAAATATTACAGATTTTCTGCTCTGGTACGCGACACAATTTATTTAGTTCAAGAGAAGCCAAGTCTAATGGATAACATTTCAGAGTATTTTCAAATCTGGGTCAGATGATTCGTCATTTTCACTGAAACCACCAACGCATCGTAACAGATGTGTTTTCTTAATTAATTAAGATCATATGGTTTCTTTCATGTGCTTGAAAGAACTCGGCGTATCATGACTCCGACATTTCTAGGAAAAATAGGATTTTATATCGATTGCGATACATTGATGATATCATCAAAATGACACAGAGTGAGTAGAACATTTTGACAGTGGTCGATGGAGTGGAGACGCTGCCGACATGCACAGCCAACGAGACGTAGACAGGCTGACAGAAAGCGTGAAGCAGTGCTGCTCTGGAAACTGAAGCTAAGGCCTGCTGACTGGCGCAAACTCTCAAATTTTTACCAAAAACTACACAAATTTCATGGTTTAATTGTTGGATTTACGTAAAATGTTTATTACATTACATAATATAAGGTAAGTATTTTTTGGTAGAAAATTCAAGAATGAACCTCCAGGTTTTAAGATTTAACTCATTTCCTTTGACCTGCTTCCCATTTTTAAACATTTTTATTTTGAAGCATAGCGCATGCCATTATTTTCTGGCAATCATGAAGTTTGGTGAAAATTTTCATAACATTTTCAAGGCAAACCTTTCGGTATCCTACATTAAATGTTACCATTGAACATATTTGTGATTGTGTGAATTTGATAAAGCTTTATTGAGGTACTGGAAATTAAGCATTAAGCATCGCAGCAAGTGTAACAATATTGAGAACATATCATTGAATACCATTGTCATTGATGATGTTTGTAACTAAGCAGGTGTCTGTGTCATGGAAGTGAAATTTGATACTTTCCTGTTCAGAGTTTACCCATTCAGAAAAAGTGTTATAAACAGGTCTTAACTCGGTCTTCAGTTTCGGTAGCAGAAGTACAAAAGCTGTGAGATAGAGAGAGGAACAACAAGGATTATGGCCATCTTGCTCGCGCCCGCGTAAGTATTGCGACTGACACCACACTGATAGCACACTTCGGCGATAATTTTGTAGCCCACACAATTTCCACTGCAAATTAGTGCCAATGCCCCAATTAAAGCCTCACATTAAGCATACTTACGAAACCAATTCATTCTAAGCTGATGTATCCCAAATATGCCATAAAGGGGTAAGGAAATGCACCACCTTTTTGTACTTGAAATAGGTAAAACTATTTAGAATTAAAAGATAAGAAGGAGAGAAGAGCTATAATATGGGCAAGATTTAGGAGACAATGTAAATACAGTGTGAGTCACGTTAAAGTGTACATATGAAAATAGATGAAACTAGACCTATTTTTATCGACAAAAAAGAGGTCAAAAAATTTTTGAGATTTTTTTTTAATTTTTTAGAGATTTTTTTTTCTTCCAATTACTTATTGTAAAGAAAACGTAATAACTTTTAAACTAAGCGGTATATCCTGATGAAATAAAAACAGTAATAATGCTAAATAACAGGCAATACTACAAAAATACATAAAATACACAAAAAATGCCAACAAATAATAAAAAATGATACTTTTTGAAAAAAATCTGCTTTTAAATTCGTGTTTTTTTGGTTATTTGATTAATTTCTCCAAAAAATGCCCCTATAACCGGTGGTTTTTATTACTTTGTGTTATTTTCTATCGTATTATCTTTGTAAAACCATAAATCACATGTCTCTATCCCTATCACAACATTTGCTATGATCGTTTGAACAAAGGCCTGCCACAACATTATTCTCCGCTGCAGGTAGAGACAATTTTAATTTTAACTAAAATGCTTATTTTACTTCGAAATCTTTTGTTTTTATTTGAAATCTAACTTGTCTTTATCAAAATTACACATCTAGAGCCATTTTCGGTTTCGTTGTTAACGAAGCGTTGAATGGCGCGCACGGAGAGGCTTAGTTCAAACGATCATTGCAAACGTTGTGATAGGGATAGAGGCATGCGATTTTTGGTTTTACGAAGATAATACGATAGAGAATAATACAAATTAATAAAAACCACCGGTTATAGGGGCATTTTTTGGAGAAATTTATCAAATAACCAAAAAAACACGAATTTAAAAGCAGATTTTTTTCAAAAAGTATCATTTTTTATTATTTGTTGGCATTTTTTGTGTATTTTATGTATTTTTTTAGTATCGCCTGTTATTTAACATTATTACTGTTTTTATTTTATCAGGATATACCGCTTAGTTTAAAAGTTATTACGTTTTCTTTACAATAAGTAATTGGAAGAAAAAAAATTCTATAAAAAATTTAAAAAAAATCTCAAAAATTTTTTGACCTCTTTTTTGTCGATAAAAATAGGTCTAGTTTCATCTATTTTCATATGTACACTTTAACGTGACTCACACTGTATAGGTGACATTAGGAAATAATAATTACATAGATAGGCATTGATTGCGCAGAAAGCGAAGAAGAGACTCTGGAATAAAAAAGTGTTGTAGACAACAGTTTGAAAAGTATAATATAATTTTTAAGTAGGAATTTTTGAAATGACCTTACGAGAAGACCAGATTTATCTCGACGGTTTTATCCAGAGTCTAAGTAGCTCAGATGGAAAAACAGTCGCCCGGCAAGCGAACGGTCGTGGGTTCGATTCCCGCCTTAGGCAGTTCGATTTTACAGTTATTTATAATTTAGTTTCAGATTTATCTCTGTATGAAGACCGAATGAGACCGAAGTCTAACTTAGTGCTCTGGTCTGGGGAATTCCAGCATACATATTTGGCTCAACATCGCTGTGGTAGAGCAGTCGCAACTAGCGCCCTGGCCACTAACATCGACGCAACATCTAACGGACACGGGCGGCGTCGGCTCATGCCACCGGACCCCTCGGGCCTCGGACGAATAGCTTGCGTCTTGCTTTTAAATTTAGGTTCTTTCTGTTGAAAGGCTGTGCTCGTCAAAATCTTGATAAGATAATTCTTAGGTTTCAAGAGTTTTCAGATTCTATTGTTAGAGGCGACACTTAATGGCTCCTCATTATTACAGACCTCATGATAGCGGTTGAATTAGGTATTATTCTAGTTATCAAATCATTAGAAAATACTAATTATTATTGTGCTATCCATTATTTCAGTGGACAGCTGCCTTTATCAAAGGTGACAAACATCAATTAATGTAGAGTGTAGACTTATTCGTAGTATCAAGAAGATTTTTGAAGAGACTGAAAATATTTCACAGGCCATTCCATCCTTTTATTTTGACGTTTGTTTTTTCAGCACCATGAAAAAAAAAGTGATACTGATAGATCTTGACGAGCACACCAGAGAACCGTTAAAGACGACCGTCCGAGCGCGCGATTGGAGCCCCGCTGCCGGCGGCGCCCGGACACCCAGACGTGCAGAAGGGGCCGCGCGCTGCATACATTATCCGGATCACCTTTGGCGGCGCACTTGGGCGGGTGCGCGCCGCCGTCCCGCCTTACGGCCCTGAGGTGGCGCGAGATGAGCAAGATGGCCGCCGTCCGCGCCGCACCTGCGCGCGACGCCGACACCGCCACCCCGCGCCGCGACGCGCGCCGCGTGCCCGGCTCGTCCAGCGTGCCGCTCGTGCCCGCGCTTGCACTCGTGCGGGAAGACGCGCGCGATGACGCGCGGGTTGCGCTCAGCGTTCCACCTGCAAAGGGGTTTGGGTTGTATAAGGCTTTCAGGTCAGAAGAATCTTAGATGAGACAGTCTACTCAACTGTTCAGCAGACGGAGCTGATACTCGGAGCAACACCAAGGCTGGGTTGCACCATCTTACTTTAACTTTGACAAACGTCAAAAATCTGTCAAATTCCATACAAAAATCACCGGTTTTCGTACATAAGTTAGGTGGTGTAACTCAGCCAAGACTATTACCACAATTTCGCAGTGATTAACGCCCGTATTCACAAACATTACTATGAGGTTTCACAGTGCGCGTAGACGCACAGGGTGACACACGAACCAATCACAGAGCTCTATTCAACGATGTGCGTTCGATTTGCTGCTTCACTTAAGCAAGTATCGTTTATGAATGCGGGCGTAAGCAAAGGATCTTATTAGTAGAGTTTCAATAGTCAAGCAGGTTCAAAATTCAGAGTTCTTACTAATCTAAGACTTTGTCTTGTCTTCGACATGAGATAATAATATGCTTTGGATCTTAATAGTTTCATTACGCAACTGAAGCAAGTATAATACAGTAACGAAAACCAGCTCCATTTTGCAGACAGAACTTAAACACTTACCCCCTTACTAATAAAAAGTTACACAGTTGTTGATCACTGTTTTAAAATGACATTTCCATACTAAACGTCACTTTAAAACACTGATCAGTGATCAGTGATCAAACTTACACGCTCGGTGATCAGTGATCACCGAGCGTGTAAGTTTTATTAGTAAGGGGGTTAAGCTTGAATCTGGGATTGAAACTTTTCAGCTCAGACACAAGAAGAACAGCTTAGTATCAACTGACCAGTATCGTTAAGCGAGTAGAGGCACGGAGGGGTGAGGCGTGCGTCGGCCAGGTGGGTGGGGTGGTAGCGCGCCTTGGTGTACAGATGCAGCACCATGCACAGCAGCCCCGCCAGCACGAAGATGCCCGACGCCACGCCCAGCAGCGTCGGCATGTCCGCTGTCAGCAGCACCAAGTCTAGACAGGTGAAAGTCATGGGTTCAAGTCAACAGCATGAAATAAAGTTGTGCAAAAGTTATTCTGTACCAAACCAGAAAGCATCCTTGTTTCTTCTTTCATCTCGTTCCCGTTCACTGGTTATTTACTTCAAAGAGGTCCTGTGAAGTAGGCCTTATGGTTGACTCGACATGGATTGGCAAGCAAGGTCTATCGAGGATCTTCATTGCAGACGACCCTGAGTGGCACCTGCCACTTGTGCTGTGGTAGCCTGACTCGCACTGACAGTAGGGATGGGCGACCTACTGCTAACTGGCACCTCACCTTCAGTGTAGAAGGCCCGCTGCGTTGGATGTGCCCTGGCAATACCGGCACTAAGGGTGGTTAATTATGCGCTATAGTACCCTGGATCACACTGGCAGGCAGCTGACCTGCTATTAACTGGGACCTCACCTTCAGTGCAGAAGACCCGCTGCGTTGGCCGAGAGTGGGAGGTGCTGTGGTACCCTGGCTCGCACTGGCAGTAGGGATGGGTAACCTGCTACTGATCGGCTCTTTACCTTCAGTGTAGAAGGCCCGCTGCGTTGGATGTGCCCTGGCAATACCGGCACCCTTAGTGACTGATTATGCGCTATGGTACCCTGGATCACACTGGCAGGCAGCTGACCTGCTAATGACTCGGGCCTCACCTTCAGTGCAGAAGACTTGCAGCGTTGGATGTGCCCTGGCAATACGGCACTAAGGGTAGCTGATTATGCGCTGTGGCACCCTGGATCACACTGGCAGGTAGCTGACCTGCTATTAACTGGGACCTCACCTTCAGTGCAGAAGACCCGCTGCGTTGGCCGAGAGTGGGAGGTGCTGTGGTACCCTGGCTCGCATTAGCAGTAAGTATGGGTGACCTGTTACTGCTGACTGAGGTCTTACGTAGGTATGGGTAACCTGCTATTGTCTGGAGCCTTACCTTCAGTGCAGAAGACACGCTGCGTTGGGCGAGAGTGGGAGGTGCTGTGGTACCCTGGCTCGCACTGGCAGTAGGCGTTGTGGTTGACCTGCACGCATGACGCGTGTGAATCGAACGCGCGACACGTCTGCCTGTAGAAGCATTGCTCGCCGAGTTTCTTCGCTGAAGGTAGAAATGATTTCGAATGTTAATCATAAAAAAACGACAGGTAGCATTAATTTGGAATGACTCTACCATTGTTTATTTAAACCTTTTGACGCGTAGTTATGTAATGTGTTACTAATATCTATTTTCTACTTAAGTACAAGAGGTCCAGGGTTCTTAGAAGAGAAGAACGAACATACATCAAGAATTCTTTTTGAAAACAATTTGATAAAGTTCTTAACTAGAGTGGTTTGGAATCTAACCGAAAGTTTCATTGTCTAGTGATTCCTCACAAATAGGTATTTCTTTGATAAATGGTTGTTTATTTGTAGATACCAGTACGAGTATAACCAGCAGACGTAAACTTTTAAAATAAAATTCTTCATCAAACACATAAAAAGTTAATATCGTCTATCGTCTCAGTCTCCGAATACAAATTAATAATATTTTCGGAGTACTACGTATTTTTAGCTTTGCCAAAGATTTCAATATCAGACAAGACGAAGGGAATGGTGTATTTTGCTTCCAAATCAGATTGATATTTAAAAGTTTTTCTCATTTCGACTCGGCGGCCATGCTGGATCTGCGGATTACGTTCGATTGCAAAGGGTAATTAATCTGATTGCAAGTTCGAGAGTTTTCTAAACGAAGCTGATAAATGAGTACTAAAATATTTAGACTGATATGTAAAATGTATTCGATAATTATTTTCGAATGGTGGTCCTAACGACAAACAATTTGAGGTAAGATAGAAATGCTCAAAATGAGTCTTGAATTCGTGCACGGTTTCAAAGATAAAATCTGAAATTTGAAAATAAAATCAATTTAATCTAAATCTTTTCTTGAAAAGGAAGCAAAGAGGCAAGGATACTGCAACAGTACTTCCGCAGACTGAAATAAATCATGAGTGCGAAATTGTACCTTCCTACTTATACCAAAGTAATACCTACTACTTATCTAGTTCCGTCTTCCGAATCTATCAATGTCATGTAAATCTTCCAGCCAAGATTATTTTTCGAGGAATTTGAATAAATTCGAATAATTTCCGAATTGATTTGGAAGTCGAATATTTGAAAAATGTATCTTAATGTTAAAGAATTATACCTCATTTTCAGAAAACACCTATCGTTTTCAATGTCTTCTTACAGCTTACTTGTGTTTCTTCTTAAAGAGGTACCACCTACATAACTGGGTATTCAAGTAGGTGTTTCGTGTATCAAGATCGTTTTATTTTTACGAATCTTGAGTCTTGACACGAGATTTCAAGGGCTCTCGAATTATTTCGATTCAAGGTTCGTGGAAAAAAAACAATGTCTGGAGACAAGACAAGATCCGTATCTTCAATCTTTTGTAGTAATTCTTCAATAATAATAAGCTGAATCGTAGCGTCGAACGTTACCTACTCGATAGGATCAAAACATTGTTTTTAAAAGTTCATATCAGCAACCACTAAACAAAATAGCCTCAACGCAAAATTGACTAAAAAATTAAAATTGATGGCATAGGTGCTAAACAACCTGCCAACATTATGTAATACCTGACGTCATGGGTCAGCATAGGTCAAGATGTCAAGCTGCGTGTACTAACTTTGTTAGGTATTGATTTATGTATCAAGGTGTACTTACTAGGTTAATCATTATTGACCTATATTATTGGACTAAAAATATTGAACGTGAGTATGAATGGATGGATCGATCTTCACTGAAGGATTTGCACGAAATTTTATTAGGTAGGTTCGAAGGTCACGCAGACGAAGCCGTGAGCAGTAAGTAGTTCCATATCATACAGAGTAAACATTGGTCAAACTAACACAATGACGTAGAAACACAATCGTTGTTGATAGAGGATCGTTATTATCACAAAATCGATCGATCTCAATTACTTATCTGATAAAAGGACGGTTAAATTTTTTTACCTTCACGAAGATTCACGTTCACGCTTAACAAGTCAACTGAGTAATCCCGGAAATTCAATAATTAATTCCGAAGTATCCTTGGCACTCGATAGCTGATCAATAATTCTAAATTAACTTACAGGATGTTTGAAGCGCTTTGAACAGTTTTCAATTCAAAAAGGTAACAAGCTATAAATTTTATTCATGGTTTTATTGCTTAAATTACTAATTTACATTTATAAATGTTTATTTGAAGCGCTATTTCAAGGTCCAAAATCCAGGATTCGCTTCATTTCCATTTGAATGGGTTTGTCGACAATGAGAATTTAGACCATAGACTACGGTCACGGTCATGAACAAAGACGGTGTTATCAACTGGGTCACAGCACCACCAGATGGCCTTGGAGGTCTAGCTCGGTGCAGTGCAGTCGAACCGAACGTGAATCGAAAACGGACATGCAAAGCTCTTTCTAGAATGCTTCGCGAATACATCAAATCATAACGGATATTATTTTTTGAAGAGCAATAAAAGATAGAGAGGAAAAGGTAATATAGCGACTTTGCACACCCGTGAAAATTTTCCAATGTAGAGATATTTGAAAACTTTACAGTATTTTTCTTCTGTTTAGAGCTGTCTGTGCCTTTCAGGATTTTCATTTGCAGTAATATCGTGCAACTACCTTATGTTAATAAGGATAGAAATAAACGATGCTCTCTATAACATTGTAGGTATTACATATTTAGTTATTAGCAATATCATACGAGTACAAAGACAGGATACAAAATTGAATACTGATGAATATGACGGAAATTCTATTTTGTTACGATAAATAAAACAATGATGTCATATTATGTAATTTGGTAGTTGAGTATCAATATCTTCAGCAAACAAGTCTTATTTAAAATATTTCAGGCAGTATATTAGTAAAAGGAGGCATGTAACTATGTACACATTTAATTAAGTTTCGCCGCCGCATGTGGTTTCAGTCTCTCAAAGAATCGCTCGTTCCAGCTGTTGCCGTGTGAACTATATTTTATATCTCGATCTCCTTGTAAACTCGATAGTCTTTAATTAAACTGTCTCTGTGTTGCGTCAGTGTGTAAATAGATCTTGCTTCATACAGGGTGGAAGGAACTGTTGGCAATAATTCGAGACTTAAATATTATGTAGAGTTTGGGGTCACTATTTCCAAATGCAATGCTAATATCCGACTGTGTCATCGCCACTCGCCAGCATTCCATCCACACATGGTCTCTATGCACATAGGATAAGTACGTATTATGTGTGTGCACAACTGTGGACTAGTTAGTGTAAGACCTGTTCTACAGCCAGAAATGGGTTCGATTCTCAGAGAGAGGGCACAATTTTCAGCTCTGTTTGTGTGGTGATAGAGCTTGTTATAAGTTAGCCTGCCTAGTTACCACCGTCTCATCTAAATACTTCGCCACAGCAACAATTTCTCTACGTGTATAAGATAATGCGAGTAGGTACAGTACAATTTTTATTGGAGCGTTGAAATTGTGGAGAGAAAAGTTCTAACTATTCTTTTTACATCGACGTATAGCTTTCCTACATCCATCCTACACCCTATATTATACAGTTCCGTTCACTGGTAAGAGCTGGAGGAAGGGTGTGAGGAACCGAGATTGTATCCAACAATACGCGCACCTAATGATACAGCTCCACGTGCCACTGTAATAGCGGAAGTTTGAACGTGTGTGTCTATAGAATGGTGCTCATGTGACGAGCCAGAACTCTTAATTGGATCCCATTTCGAGAACCAGGATATGTTTTTCATTGGACCAGAAAATATCGAAAGCGATATTTTCATGAAAAACACGTTTCAGGAAAAGTTGGCATAGGTACCTTTATTTATTTGAGTACCTACGAGTACAAGATCTGCTTGTCTCCAGGTAATTAGGTGAACATGAGCCTCCCCGACCCGTGTGCCTAACGTAATAAAAGTTAAATCCTCCAATTTTGATTTGGAACTAAGGTGGTGGATAAAGTGGAGAAACAACCTTATTAAGGTTGTAGGAACGCGCTAGGTGCAGGCCTTTAGAAACCGGTAGAACTGGATATCATTTGGGGAGGCCTACTTTCAGCTGGGGACATTCTGTAGCTAAAATAATGATGAGCAAGGTTCGTGTTCCTGATGATGATGTGCTGATGATAGATAATAATAATAATAATAATAATAAAAACTTGCTCACAAATACAAGCTGATCCCGGATAAATCTACACCATATTACAAATATCAACCTGAACCTGTTCGAAAATAATCAATATAGACTCTACTTCGACCGCGCTATTCTCACTGACCGTACTACACACTATAATAGACCAGACATCACTCTACAAGATAAAAATAACCACACAGCAACCATAATAGATATCGCTATACCCAACACTCATAACTTGCAAAATACCATATCAGAAAAATTGTCTAAGTACACGGATCTAAAAGATGAAATTAGGCGGATGTGGCGTCTCAATGAAGTTAACATCGTTGCGATTGTTTTGTCAACAACAGGCGTTATACCGAAACAACTACACCAGTCAATAAATTCACTCAACTTATCACCACTTACTTATATATCACTCCAAAAGGCAGTTGTCCTGAACACCTGTAGAATAGTCAGAAAATTTTTGCAAGTTCACGAAACCACTAACCAATTAAGACAGCTACCACCAGCACAAACGCAGCAACATAATAATTTAAATTATGTAAAAATATTGAATCGGGATTGCACTTGGCTTAGGCCCGTGTTCTCCTCTGATACCAGCCATGAGCTGAGACACAAAAGTGTAAACCGAAAATAATAATAATACTCACGCTTAGCGCAGCCCTTAGCGACGCCGAGGGCAACCGGGTGCTTGGGGTCACACTGGCAGGTCGACGTGGTGGGGTCACAGAACACGTGCACGAGCCGCGGGTTGCACGTGAACTCGCACGGGGAGCCCAGGTACATGCCCTTCTCTGGAAGTAGGAAAAAAACAAACTTACTTTATCTTGATGAACACAGAAGTAGATACAGATATTTAATGTTACATAGGGTAGATAAAGCTTAAAGCTAAACAGATCATTATGGATACTGCCGGGCACTGCAATTAAAAGAGAAGAGGATCCACTAATTATTTACAAACTATTAAAAATGCAATATTGGTCCGAAAGTTTAAAAGGTTCGCTGGTATTGCATGTAGAAGTTCTTCAAACGTAATAATGTCCCAGGATAGATTTCTGCGAGGGTCAGTGAGTAAATAACCCTTTTAAATTCGTTGGAAGACGTCTCTTAAAAATACTTAACTCTTAACAAAAATGGCAGCATATTATGGCGACTGGTTGTGTATAGCCAATAATAATTAATAAATAAATATCATCACTTTCCATTGGGAAAGACGCAGACCACAAGCTTCTTCGTTGTACCAAAAGCTCTACGGTCACAACATGACATAAGGTAAGTGCCCCCTACTTCGGTATATTAAGGCTCTTACGAATTTAACATTTTATTTAAAAATAACCAAGCATGATATCAGTATGAAAGCTTTTGTATGCTAAACTTTGGTCTTTTGACAGTAAGTTAATACATAATTTATAGTTATATAGTTTGAACTTTTTTTTATATTAATTGTTCTGCGGACCTCTTGTTTGGATCCTGTTTCGTGACAAAATTTTGCTCTGTTTCTAAGTTCGTGAACTCATGTCCCCTATTTCGGGATAAGGTTTTATGCATCCAGTTAGGATATTTTAATAATGATTAAGGTTTAATAAATTTAGAAACGATAATATAAATTTAGAATAAAATAATTATGTGAAATTGACGAATATTACTTTCCTGAAATATTCATAAGAAATAATTTGTGTCTAGCTAGGTACGTACCTACGTATAATATTTTTATTTGTTAATTCTAACAATACGTGAAAATATTTATATAACCATTAGAAATGTGGGGGGAGGGGGGGGGGGAACTTAACCCCCCACCCCCCCTTCGTACCCATAAAATTTTGATTTGTTATTTATAGCGATATGTGAAAATATTTATATAACCATTAGAAATGTAGGGGGGGACTCACCCCCTCCCCCCCTTCGTACCCATAAAATTTTGATTTGTTATTTGTAATGATAAGTATGTGAAAATATTTACACAAGCCATTAGATGCCAGGGCAGGGGTGGGATTATGGGGAGGAGGGGGGGGGGGACTAATCCCCCTTCTCACCCCTGGAGCTGTTTCACGTGAGGGTCCCCCCCCTGAAAATAACCCCAGATACGCCAATGACTCATAATAAAAAGTAAGTAATTAATTAATTTCTTAGGTAGGTAAGTATTAAGAACTAAAAAATATGTCGATTTCTTTAATGGTATGTGTCATAAAAGTACCTAACACCATACATTTATATGTCACGAACTTGGAAAAAAGTAACAATAATACGGTTCCTTGTTTCGTGATACTGATTATTCCAAATTCCCCAAGTAAAATTCATGGATTATTGTCAAAATGTCGCTCACCTAGCAGTATAATGGCACATTTACCAAAAAAGCGAAATTGAGTTTTTACGGCCTAAGTGTTTAAGAGTGTATAATTTATAAAGTGGTAAAACGCCACGGTGTTAGTTTTACTATTTGTCGAGAGAGGGCGTTCAGTGTCATTGTACCACTTGCTACGTTCCCCCTGCTTCCGCGCATAACAACGGCTTATTTGTCAGTTGTGCGGGGCGCTCCGCGAGGTGANAACTTCGTTTCAAACATTTGTAAAATCTTTGACCCTCATTTCTGTAAAATAAGAAAAATGTAGATGTGTCATTATACTGCTAGGTGAGCGATGTGTCAATTAACTATTATCTATCCCATATAAAATACATATAAACAAAGATAAATAAAACAAATCGAAATAAACCCAAAATTATGCTGGTACTACTTATGCTAATTTATCTTAAAATTGGTCTTATATGTGAACTTCAAACTGGTGTCATATAAATTCTAGTGAACGAAACATATACCGAATTTAGGTCATGAGAAACTTAAATAAATGCATTATTTGTTTCATAACTTACATTTAAATTATCATAAATAATCATTTAAAAACCAAGCATCAAAATGTTATCCATAATATCCTTGAATCGGTAGTGTCACGAAATAGGGAACACCCGAAAAATAATATGTACGCTATTTCGTGAGTCAATTAATCGCAATTTTAAAGGAATTCTACGTTTTCATATAACTTTTTTCTAAGCCAAATCCATTGTCAACGAACACATGAAACCACTATTACAAGTTTTATTTAAATGGACGTTCCTTCGCCTTTTTATAAGCTTAAGAAGTTGGAGCGCTAACCTTACGGTGAGAACAACCTTTGCAAGCCGCACGGCTGTTTTTGGCTCTCTGAGAGTTTGAAGCTTTGTATTGCTCTCATTTTTGGCGCCACAATGTTGGTACTTGGTTTTTTAGATAGCTTAAATAATAGAGTTTTTGTAGTAATGAAGAATTTTTATAAATAATTTTCCAATTGCTTATTATTTGAGCTAGAAAAAAAACTTACGAACTTACGTACTATCACGAACTAGTAGCCGTTTACCTTATCGTAGCAACCGCGCTACGAAAAATGGCCGTAGCCTTGCCTATTTTATCGTAAGCTCATGATGACCCGATTATAAAAACATGTAGACGTAGTAGTATAGTTAGATGATAACAGATAATAAAATAAAGGAAAGAACAAAAAGGAAAATTAATTTATTTGGTAAGATTAAAGCATAATGTTTCATGATATCGTGTGTCTAACGAATAGGCTAGTTGCCTAAAAAAATTTTTTTAGTCCGTAATGTTTAATATCAAAAAATATTGGACACATATATTTTTATTTGTCAATCTAACAAATAATTACATAGTTATGGTGCGTTGAAGTTGCGCACGACGTCACAACGTGCGGCATTTATAAGCAAGCGTTGACGTCACGGGCCACTTCTTATGAACTTTGGGGCGCTTTATCTCTTTAAATTTTCATTAGTTTGAAAAAGTGAAAAATACGTGTAGAGTATTTTTTGATAAGTTAACTGACGGACTAATTAAAACTCTTGCTTTTTGACCCAGGCAACATCCCCATTATAATATTCATCACAGGCTTCCTTGAAATCATTACAGAAAATACACAGATGTTATATGATAAGCCAGGTTCTGTTGCCAAGGTTTTGTACGTTTAGTAATATGAATATAGGCTCAGAATAATGAGTACCTATTTACGATGAAGATAATTATGTAGAAAGTATTAGTAATTTACTGTTTCTGTCGGTATTTGATAATATTGTCATATTATATTGAGCAAAATGGAAATTGTTAATAAATAAATAATGACATTGAATAGGGTAGGGTAGAGGGTGGAGCTGTTAAAACGGATGTATATTTGTGCCAGTTATTTGTATGAAGAATCGGGTAAAGGACAGTGCCAATCCATGTATGGAAGTTGGACCAAGTGCTGCCCAGAATGAAACTATAGTGCATTTTGTTCCTCAGGCCAATACTAATTTGTAAACCGGAGCGCACTGAAATCTATCCCTGGAGTTAAGAGAAAAAAAGAGTTTTGTTTTGAATTATTTACATACAAAATATCATCGATGTATACCTACTATGCATAAGATTTCGTGATTTTGGCATTAAATAACACTCGTTATGTTAAACTTAACCATACTGTATCCGTACACCTTACTTTAGTGCGACTTCGACATTATTTATAAGCGATCAAGCGCTGTTTCAGTAGTTTAGTTAGTTGACCGAAATTAATTATTTCCAAAATGGAGCAAGAAGTTTTAGCTTACAATAACTTCAATAATCGATTGTAATACACCAATAAATTGGTTTTTTGCAAGGATAGAGAACTAAAACTTCTTGCTTCATTTTGGAAATAATGATTTTTGTCAACTAACCAAACTATTGCAACAGCGTTAGATCGCTTCTAAAGAATGTCTAAGTCGCACTAAAGTAAGGTGTACGGATACAGTATGGTTAAGTTTAACATAACGAGTGTTATTTAATGCCAAAATCACGAAATCTTATGCATAGTACGTATATATCGATGATATTTTGTATGTAAATAATTCAAAACAAAACTCTTTTTTTTTCTCTTAACTCCAGGGATAGATTGCAGTGCGCTTCGGTTTACACATTGTATTGGCCTGAGGAACAAAATGCACTATGGGTTGATTCTGGGCAGCACTTGGTCCAGACCCTGGCACTATCCTTTATTTCACCAAATCGGTGTACGAAGTTTCATACATTTTCAAACTAATTAAAAGACCGATTAAACTATCGGCTGACAAAAAGTTTGTGGTCTGTGGGGACTCTAGTCTTTGCCACAATTTGGAAGATCATTTGATTTTGGAACGCATAATTAGAGACAGTTCGAATTTTGAAATAATGCGTTCTTTCGCGTTTGACAGTCAGTGGCGCGCGATCCTACCATACACTTTTTTTTATTCCGTGTGTCTGTTTTGGGACGCATAAAAATTGTGAAAAGTGAGAAATAAGTGGTACTTGGTGATTTAGTGAATAATCTGACTCCTAGGACACAGCAGGAAACATATGGTGAAAGTGGAGGTTAGCATTTTACATTTTCTACTATGTAAAAAGAATTTCATTGTTTCTGTAAATAAATAAATTGTCAATCGATTTTTGTGTGATGCCCCCTCGTGGGTATTCCCAAAAATGACACAGGCCTTTGCTGGTAATTCCTGTAAAACTTTATTTATAATCGAATAATGGTTTACTTTTGGTTAATAAATTAGGTATATTTTATTTTTCAGGTAAGTAATGATTCTACAGGAAAACTTCAAGCATCAAGTTGGTAAGTGTTCCTATCATTATTTTATTAGCCATGCAAGCAGTTTTCAGGACACAAACTGGACCGCTGTACTCTTCATTCGTTCTTTTTCAGCAAATCTTCTATTAGATTTTTTAATATTTACAAAAATATCGTGTATCGTTTCATAG